TCATGTCAAATATAGAACTAAGTGTACACAAGGGACCATTTCCAAACATGGAAAGATGTGGGTGGGGGGCCACTGTATTTGATTCAGTACTGGAGTGATATCTTAGCAATTAAAAAAGATAAGAGGTTCATATTTTATATTCTAGCTTGTCAATATTGGTAGTTTGAGTTCCTAATTCATACAAAACTGTAGATTTTGTATTTTGACATCACAAACATCTAATTTGAACCACTGCAGCATTCAGCATACCACATGACACACAATAATCAATGTTTAGCTGTGTTGTTTGAATATTTTGTTATAAATTAAGAAATTAACTGAAGTATAATATTAAAATTTGAATTATAATCTACAATCTGATACCAAACTTATTGACATACATTCATAAAGTAGTAGTTCAATAACATTTTGAATGCAAGTCAACAAACACAACAACATAGCTTTTGATAGGTAATAGAAGGAACAGGTGGACAACAGCTCGACCATAGAAAGGGTAAGGGCATGGAGGACTACACTGAGATTCCAATCCAGGGGTAAGACAGGGCAAGGGGGACAGGTGAAGTGTAGCGAATGAAACAAAAGGGAAAGGACAGCAAATGGAAGCCTGCGGTTGAGGAGACCAAGAGGTCCCTGTAAAGGAGCCAGGTAAGAAAGGAAGTGATGTGGGGAAGAGTAGGATGAGGAAAAGGATAATATTGATTTATAGACCATCTATGGTATGTGTACCACTTCCACTGGTACACAGCCATGGGGGAAGGATGAATGGAATGGAAAATCAAAGATGCCACGAGTAGATAAAGGCCAGCTTGACTGGCCAATGACTTTACAAAAGCCATGCATGAAGACAGAGTGTGGGAACAGAAAGATGATGCATGCCAGACTGGGGCTTACATAAAAAGGTGGGAGAAAGAAGTATCAGAAGAGGATGCGACACTACTAGCCAGTGCAGTAGTGGAAATCTTGGCTGTTCCAGCCAAAAGGAAGCCCCAAATGAATACAATATGGAGTGGTCTGGAGGATGGAAAGCACCCGGGAAAGCAAATAGATAGGAGAATAGGCATATGAATAGAGGCTTGTCCAATCCTGACTGAGAGCATCTACTGCTCCAGCCAAGGAATGTGGAACAGAAGACCAAAACCATGGGAGCTGGGACTTGAGATGTGTGACAAAGGCATTCAGATCTGAAACACTCCACTGGGAAAACAGCCATCGAAACACCAGTGAGTCCAGTGACCACTCCGTAAGGATAACCTTGTCAGGATGAGATGACTGATCCACAAATAGATTAAGAACACCCGAAATATGACAAGCCATCAAATGAATATGATGGATGTGGACTCAATACTTGAGGTCTAGTGTGTGAAAACAGATTGCTCAACTGAGTGTCCCTTGCTTGGAGATATACAAGACCACCATCCAGTTGTTGGAATGAGCCATCACCAACCAGCCCTCATAAGCCAGAAGGAAGGAACCAACACCTAACAAACTGTGAGGAGCTCCAAGAGATTGATATGGAGAGAGAGGACTTAGATAAGAGTCCACCACATAGAGACCTCCTGTGTGTCCAGGAAGGCACCCCAACCAGAAAGAGAGGCATCTGTACAGAGGTGATGTTCCAGATGAGAAGGAGGAAGAGGAACACCCATAGTGGTGTTGACTCAATCCAACTAACAGGCAAAGTTGGTCTGTGAGGAAGGAGGAAAGTGAAGAGAGGCATCCAAGTGATCCTGAAAGACGTTCCACTGGTTCATCAAAGCCTATTGAAGGCAACACAAGTGGGCACAACAAGGAGGAATGAGGGCTTCCAGAGAAATAAAAATATATATACAGTCAAAAATGCTGTAGAATTTGTAGAAAAAATCAAGGATATAAAACTGAATAAGGATGATTTGTTAGTATCATTCGATGTGATATTATTACTTACAAAAGTTCCAGTTGAAGATGCAATTAAGTTTTTGAAAATTCATTATTCCAAAATAGAACTTCCGCAATTGAAATTCTAGATATAATTAATTTAACAAAGGTGCGTGTTACGAATCAATTCTTTCAGGTAACAATGTTTTTATCGACAAAATGAAGGGTTGATAATAGGATCTCCACTTTTGAAATTCTAGATATAATTAATTTAACAAAGGTGCGTGTTACGAATCAATTCTTTCAGGTAACAATGTTTTTATCGACAAAATGAAGGGTTGATAATAGTATCTCCACTTTCACCCTTGTTATGTGATTTATATATGAATGTATTTGAAATAAAAGCCATAAATGGTGCAAAATGTAAACCACATATCTGGATAAGGTATGTAGATGACACATTCTTGATGAGGAAATATGGTATTGAGGCATTAACAGAATTTGCAAATATTTAAGTAGTATAGAACCGTCTATACAATTTAGTCAGGAAATTGAGAAAAATAACAGTTTGCCTTTTTTTAGATGTATTGGTAAAAAGGAATGAACAGGGATGTTTAGAAACATCTATCTATAGGAAACCTTTTTTCTGTTCTTATGCCACCACATCAGGAATCATATCATACAGAAACAAAAAAGTGTATGCATTTTACACTTATATTCAAATATTTTGAGGATATGTACAAAACAAGATGATTTAAAAAATGAGTTGTTATTGATAAAATATATAGCAGTTGAAAAATGATTTAATCCAAGTATTGTAGACAAATCAATTAATAAATTCACTAATGTGGCAATAATAGATCAAGGTATTACATTGAAACCAAGTTATGATAAAATTAAAAATGAATGTTTTGTGTTACCATGTATTCCAGGTTTAACTACTGGTTTATTTAAATTTGTAAAAAACAACAAATGTTTTGCTGTATATTTATACTGATAAATAAGATAAAATGAATTTTAGGCAACACTAAAGATGATATACAATTAATGATAAATTTTGAATTTATAAAATTGAATGTGGAAGTATCTCTATTGTACAAACAAAACGTAATTTAAAATTTCGTATAGCTGAACATAAGAGATGTATAAAAAATGAAAAAACAGAACATTTGGCTATAACAGAACATGTAAGTAAAACCAATATAACATATTATGGGAAAAAAACAATTGTATTAGGTCAACCTAAAGGTATTACAGCAACTAATAGTCGAGAATCGACGGAAATAATGAAATTTAAAAATAATCATAAATTATTAAATGGTGATGAAGGTCTGGCGAATATCTGTCTAAGAATGTGGCGAGACCTGTTCTCATACTTATACACAAATATCTGTCTAAGAATGTGGCGAGACCTGTTCTCATACTTATACACAAATATCTGTCTAAGAATGTGGCGAGACTTGTTCTGATACTTATACACAAATATCTGTCTAAGAATGTGGCGAGACCTGTTCTGATACTTATACACAAATATCTGTCTAAGAATGTGGCGAGACCTGTTCTCATACTTATACACAAATATCTGTGTGTGGTAAAATACACTC